TTTAATTCCTAAAATGTCTCATCCTTGCCATCAAGTTGTTTTTTTTTTAATTTTTTTTTTTTCATCAAAGTGTACATTTTGTTGAAAAGACAAATATCTCTTGCTTTAAAAGTGTTCCCAGACAAAATATAGGCTTCTGTGGAAAAGTTTGTCTTGTTTTTTGTTTTTATTTTCATTCAGATCTGTCAAGATAAATGTTGTATAAAAAAAAAGACAAACCCATTAAAAATGTCCCCTGGCACACATTCTAAGATGAAACAAAAACAAAAAGTAAATGTTATGTTTATCTTTATATACTTTATTTACATAACAAGCAAATCTATAACTTATATAAAAATTGGTGACTATTTACATAATAATCTAATCTATAACTTATATAAAAAAATATTTACTAGTTACATGACAATCAAATCTATAACTTATATAAAATTGGTGACTATTTTTTTCTGACTTGTTTTTTCTTGCTTTATTTGCAAGAAAATTCTTAATGCAATCCCAGGCAATAAATACCTGACTGCTGAGTTAATCTGTTTGATACAACACATATCTTCTGCTGATTGTATGAGTCAGTTTGCTTTGTTTCTTTATTATTTGGGAGATAACATTGTAGATAAGCTTCCTAAAATATAGCTTAGTACCAATTTTTGCAAGAGATTATTAGCAGTGTTTCTCAACCTTTTTAAACAATGGCACACCTAGGCACAAATGAAAACATCACAGAACACTTAGCAAAATTTTTAAAGGGTATATATTTAAATGTTATAAAATAAAACCAAAGATTATTAAATCAAATGCTTAATGCTTCATATCAGAAACTTTGACAATATTAATTCATAATTTAATATAACTTTGTAAAAATTTTGAATTAAAAAAAGAATGTTCAATACAATTATATAAAAAATGGTTAATATTCATTTATTCAAATAAATGAAAATTTTAAAAAGTTAAATTAAAAAAATAAAAATACTTTTAAAAAAAAATGAATATTAAAACAAAGTATTTAAAATGACATAAATAATAGTGAAAAGAATTATTTGAAAAAAAATGTTTAATACTGATTCATTTAGTACCATTACTATTTACACACACACACACACACACACATATGTATGCCGTGACAATATTTCATGGCACACTAGTGAAGAATCTGTTATAACTTATATAAATTGGTGTGTCTATTTACTCACTCTTATAATGAATAACACAAAATTATGAAATCATTTTGTTGACATGTCTTTGTTGATTACTCATGTAATGTGAACTAACGTCTGGGCATGTTTTATATTATGATTCAGTGTTTGCCAGGAAAATCTACCCCACCTTTTCATCTACATGCTTTGTCTCTTCAGGGTGTTAACAGTCATAGCTTTCCACAATTTCCTGCCTTTTGTAGTCCTTAATAAATTTTGTCTTTTTTTTTATTTCTCCTAAACCCTGTTCTGCAATCCATTTACGCAATCTCTCTAGGTAGCATATGTATTGTTTTCTTTTGTCTCTTTTGCCTTCAATCTTTCCTGTGAGTATCAACTTTTCCAAGCCTTCTTTCCTCACTATATTCTCCAGTAGACTTCAGAAAAATAACTATAGGACATATCTGATGATTTCTATTACTGCCAGTGAATATAGGGTTCTTTTTATTATCATTGATTTATTCATAATACTTGTTATCAATCTCATTTTGAAAAGTTTTTTTTTTTTTTATTTTTACGGATCAAATATCATCATTATTAGGATTTTGTTCTCAAGTAAAATTATTTCATCAAATTTGATAGGAGGTTTGGATTCTTATCTCAAGAAATTATTTTTCATTCCAGTATCAATTGGTGGTTTGCATTATAGATCAAGATAGAAAACCACCTCAATATTGCAGCACCTTCCTCAGTATTCTTGCTATTTTTAGTCATGCCATCATGTGGTTAATGAGTCTTTTCTACAACAGCACACACAGATTATTGGTTGTCATAGATATATGCAGAAATGGAAAATGGGCAACTTTTTCTAAAATAAACCTTTTTTGCTTTTTCCTTCACCTTCATACAAGGTCACAGACTCTAATGGACAATACCTCTCTCCAGCTGGTCAGTAAGTAAGACCTTTCCTCTAGATATGCTGATATCTGGACTTGGACTCTGTAGTCCAATAAAAGGTGTACATTTTCCACAGCTACAATTTTATTTCTTATTTTATTTTATGGAATAAATATTTCATAAAATATCAGCCAGTAATGTATTTTCTTTTGCTTTTTTTCTTTTGTTAAAAACATTTCTTAGATGATATGGATTCCTCCATTGTAGATTTCTAGTTGCATTTCATCTGGATGATCCCAGTTCTTGAATTCTTTGTTTCTTCAGTGTTTTCACTGAGCCTTTTGGGATTATTCTTAGTGATTCAACAATGATTGGCACCGGTAAATCCAATCTTCTAGTTTGGGTGATTTGTATGACTCTCAAAGTTTCATTTGCACAGTTCCCAGTAGATAACAATTTCCCACCAAGTCAGGGCTACTTTTGTTCAGTTATCAAATTAATTTGTGACATTTGCTTATTATGTCATTGGTTGCCACACTTAGTATATTTCTAAATACTTGTTGGTTTCTTTCCTCTTCAGAGACTTTTCTGATTCTATAATTCAATTCTCTTTTACAATACAAAAATCTAAAGGCATATAGGAATAAGGAAAGATGCCTTCCAGAAACTTAGCAAAGTATTAAGACAAGGAAATATCATTAGAAACAAAGAAAATAGTACTGATTTACAATGTAATATCTAATCTCCTATCTGGTAGTGAATACTGGACAATTTCTTCACAGATGAAGAAGTCACTTGAACCAACACACATGTAACTCTACTGATGAATGCTGAGAATACCATGGACAGAACATGTGAATAACAAGGAAGTTTTAAGGAAAATAAGAACATCAAGGAAAAACTTACACTTAAAATTAAAAAGAGTTTAAATTTGTGAGACACACTAGTTCCAATCAATAGTGGAAAGATCAATAACAGTGGACTTGAGAAACCCATTTTCATAAAAAATTGTTTTAAGAGAAAGATTTTATGATGTTCAACCAAGAGTAGCAATGAATGTTCTTTTAAGGAAATAACTAATATTACCATTGCTATTAGAGATGAAGAGAACAGCTATTACACTTTGATTTCTACCTGATGGCCAGGTAGTGAAGAAAAGCATAACTCTAGTAGTAGTAGCTGCTCAGTCAGTGAATACCAAATGTTTCCTTATAAGGAAATGGCAAATATTACCATTAACATTAAAATTTAGAATGAAATAATCAGAAAAAAAAAAATTTAGTCTATGGCTGTGAAGACCAAATGCTGACTTTCAAAGAATCTTACCTTGTGTTTTCTTCTTTTTCTAATTTACTCTTCTGGATCCTCCTATGCCCTTACCATAATCGCATTTAGTAAACCTCTGCTTTGAGGGTCTCTTGGGTGTTGTATTGGGTGAACAATAATAAAAAAAAAATATTTACTCTATGGCTGTGAAGACTAAATGCTGACTTTCAAAGAGTTTCACTTTCTTTAAATTTTATTTTGGGGTATGTGTTGGGGGAGCAGTAATGTGTCTGTCGTATCTGCCATGAAATCCAGTATTTGTTCACCATAATTAAGACTTGACAGGGATATGAATCAAGTAACTAAACATGGTCATTTGACTCAGATTTGACATTTTGATAAAGATATACTCATTAACAATTATTCAGTTTATAATAAAAATGTAAGAAAAATGGTGGCAAAATCACTTAATGTGTTTTTCTCTTGACACACAGGAATTGTTAGATTTTGAAAAGAGAAATATTGCCGGTTAGTCTACACATTGAATGAACCAGTATCAAATTATAATGAATTCCATTTTGAACAATGATTGGACAATTCACTAAAAAGAAAAAGAAAATCACTACACCTTGTGAATTTTTGCCTATCCTAATGAACAATTGTACTCTCAAGGAGGATACTTGCTTCAAATATTGGGACTCATGCTCACTCCAGACCTCAAGTAAAATGCATATATATGATGCTTTCGTGAAGATATTGATAAAATGGTTGACTCCTTATACCACTCCAGAAAGTTCTTAATACCCCTGAATATGCTTTATCTTTACAAGAGCCAGATCAGCCCCAAAATGGTGTACTGCTGCCATATTTGGGTTGGACGTGTCCAGGCATTCACACATCCCTGTGTGTGGTGAGAGCCATTTTTCATCCTACAACCCATTTTCCACAGATGAAATGTCACTAGCTCTCTGCTCTATTGCTATTTCTTCCATGGCAAATCTTCCAACAAACTACATTCATTAGTTCCACCAGTTCAGACCTTCACAGGTAAGACTTGCCATGCTGCATACACAGGGTCAAACCATCCTCATTCTCCTCATATTCCATTAGTAAGAAGGAAGATCCATTTGTTCAGCTTCTACCCAAGAACCACTACTTTATGGAACAGACTCCCAAGTGAATGCTTCCCTAATCGCTACAATCTTAACCTCATCTAGTCTCGGGTTAACTGTTATCTTTCCTATATATCCTCATAATCTGTACTTTTGCCACCTACTCTTATTTTCATATGACAACCTCATTCAGTAAGACTCTACCTTGACTGTCTCTTGGGCTTTGTATTGAGTGAATAATTAGTAAAACAAAAATTGATCAGAACCATCAAAAATATTTAATTACATGACAAGGCAGTATTTTTTTTTATTGATTAAGTGATTTGTTTTCTATGACTTATCAACTCTTTGCAGATTATTTAAAGCCAAAATCATTTTTAGATTGAAAGAATTTTTTTTTTTTTTGAGATAATAATGATTTAGTGATACAAGTCTTACTAATTAATTAACCCATAGCTGAGGGGAGAGGTTTATTTGTACCTTTCCTAAAGATATTTGTATATAAGTGAATATAATGAACCCAACTGAAATTAGAACTCAGCTCTCCAGTTAACAATTCTGAGCCATTATCCATTACACCACCCACACATCCAAGCTTGCAGCACCCGGTATTTCCAAATGGTCACCCATCTAGGTACTGGCCAGGTTTAATTTTGCTTACCTTCGGTGATCATACGGGAACAAATGTTTCAACATGATATGGCCGTAAGCCCAATGCAGAAAATTAAAACATAAAGAAAACAAAAGCTCAAATTTCTGTCAAGTAAGTCCATTGACATGAACGCAAGTTGACCTGTTACAAATATTTTGGATTATGAAATAAGAAAAATCTCCAGAGAACTTTTCCCATAAGATTTGTTTTATGTTTTGAGTATAGAGTGATCAAATATCCCAGAAGATAAAATTTGATAAGACAAAGTTCATTGCTTGAAAGACTGAAAACTTAAAAATCTACTAATGACAAATCTACCAACTTATATTGATATTCTTAAATTGCTTACATAAAAGCTCAAAAAAATGGAACACCAGCATGATATGGCTTCCCTCTGTTTTTTCTACAAATATTTTCATGGCATCTGCTCTGACGAGCTTTTTTCCTTGGTGCCCTAACTACATAAATTTAAGCATGCTACTAGACTGGCATCTAGGTCCCACCCTTTTACTGGTGAAATAGTTAAATATAACCACCACTTCTACTCCAACAGTTTTTTTTTTTTTCACACTTCTCATCTGTGGAACTCTGTTTATTTGCTTCCCTGATAACTACAATCTTCAAAAATTTTAAATGCAACATCAGTTGCTATCTTCTGTTGATTTGAACCCCGTTCATCTTTTATCCTTTCCTCAATTCCCCTATACCGGTCTTTTCTCTCACTTTCACTCTCTGTAACCCCCTACATACTAGTCTCCTTGCTTGGGGTGAAATGATTTTAAAAAAATGTTTACTTTTCTGACATCTCTGTATATATGTGCACCAACAAAAGTAAATAGATTGTTATATTTGTTTGTTCCAAATTATTCAAATTTCTCAATTATATTTTGAAAAGGAGACTAATTGCAAACTTTTAGGAAAAGAAACTCATATCTCTATTGTTTGTAATCTGGATTTTTTTATTTTTGTCATTTTCAGTTTATTTTATTTCAACTAAACGTATATTTCTAATTAAGATAAGTAAAATATTGATATGAGTTATCAGACAGAATGTTTTGTTGCAGCAGTTAAATTTCATACATCACCTGTATGTTTAACCTGTTCAACCTTGAATCAATTGAAACATGTTCAGAATAAATGAGTGGCAGAACAAGAACAAAAAGAGATGGTAAAAGGGCAAAGGTTACTTAGAGCAATAAATGAATGCAAGTTGCGGATTGCCATAATAATTGACTATGTCTTGAAGGAACATGGCACATAAAACCAACAGGGAAAACATTAAGTAGCATACTTAACAAAACTGAATGAATAAATAGCAAAACAAGGGATGATAAAAGGATAAAAGTTATTTAGAGCAACAAAAGACAGGAAGTTGTGGAGAGCCATAATGAGTGAGTTTGAGTGAATGGCAGGACAAAGCCAAAGGTGTATGCCAAAGGAGCAAATGTTACTTAGAACAGAAAAAGATAAAAGAACTTCCACATCCTGACAAGACATCGCACATGAAAGAAAAATTCAGGGTGATGCAATTTTAAATTCTATCAGTGTGTGTATATATATATATATATATACACACACACACACACACTCGTGTACATGTGCCATCAAAATAGATGGCAAGAGGGAATGTATTATATTATAAGTAGTTTTCATTTAATCCAAGTACAATTTTGTCATTTAAAACTGTTCCTTGTTAATGTTAATAATTGAACAATGTACAGTTTATAAATACCTCAGGAAAGATATCCATATTTTAACTTCTTTGTGTGTGCGTGTATGTACGCATGCATAGCTTTTGTACATGTGCTTTTGTGATACACCTTGGGTGTTCTTGAGAGTCAAATTTGCTGAGAAATTAGAACATCATTACTAATGATAGTCAATTCCTCAATCTAAGACACCTCAAACAAAAGTAACTTTAAATTCAAAATGAAATAACATATAAACCTCAGCCAAGTTTTGTCTGACATATTTATCTCTTCTTTCTATCCCTATCTATTTCCCCACTCTCTCTTTCTTTCATTCTTTCTTTGCAGTTGTGTATCTGTTTCTTTTTGTAGCTACTTTCCATCACTCCTTTCACTTTGATCATAGTTCACAGAAAGAGGGAAAGAAGGGGTTTGCTTTTTAGTTTGTCAGCACAGTAGCGTTTTGCATGTGGGTGTGAGTGGGGTCATAATTTCTGTGTGCCTCATGTCAAAATTTTGCATACTACCCCTCAATTGTTACACACACAAAAAAATTTATATATACATGATATAACGATATATAATTTTATATATTAACAAACAGTATTTAAAAAAATATGACAAACTGGAAAGTTTTTGTGACACATTTATTAATATTAACCACATGACAGAAAGGAAGCATGCTTTATTTCTGTCATGTGCTTAATATTGATAAATGTTTTCGTATTGATCACATCAGTACCCTTTCCTTTGCCATTGTTTTATTAACCAACTTATCTATTATATAATGTTTTGATAATTCAACACCCACAGAGCCAACCTGTGGTTTATACTGCAACTATGCGGAGTTACAGTTTCTGGGAAAGTGCATGTTATCTAACGTGATCAACAATTCGAACAAGGCCAGCACACTAAATCCCTTGGCCACGATGACATGTGACTTTGTGCTAGCACAGCTATTGACTGCCCGCAAGGGTTCCATCTACCCAATTTCATTCACAAGGCTTGGACCTACCCATGGTATGGTTTTCAGGCACTTTCCAAAGGTGCCGCATGCTGGGATCGATTCCTCCAGTCCGATAACTTCAGGAAGTCTCCTTCTTGACAAATTGACAATGGTGATATTCAAACCCAAGTCTCATGGTGAGAATGTAAACGTTCTAACCACTCAGCCATATATATATATATATATATATATATATATATATATATATATATATATATATGAGATAATGATATACAATTTTAGATAATTTTATATAGCAACAAACAGTATTTAGAAAAATTGGAAAAACGTTTTAGTGAAGTGTTTCAGTTCGATGCAATCCTAACGGATGAAATGCATCACAAAAACTTTTTCCAATTTGTCATACTATTTATATATATATATATATAATATATATATATACTCTTCTTTAATTAATTTGCTTCTGATTAAAAAAGATACGCTTTTTTTATTGAAATATTGCTTCAGTCAGTTATGTGGCATCTGTGATACATGCTTAGGCAATCATGTATCTTTCAATACATGACTGACGAGTCAGATTTTTCCCCACAGTAGGTTGTCATTTCTTTCTGCATTGGACCAGCTGCCATCCAAGTCTATAGAACCCAGTCTGTTCTGCTATTTACTCATAGCTGGGGTGAGAAGAAGAGGATTCATACCTTTCCTAAGGGTATTAGCATGTAAGTGAATGTAATAGATTCAACTGGAATTTGAACTTGGCTCTCCGATTCCTCAGTCCAAGCCGTTATCCATTACTCCACCATGCCTCCATATTGCTTATTGTGTTTATATTTTGAAATGATTTTAATCTGAAGACATATTTATGAAAGTTTTCTTCCATGTGTTTCCAGTCTTATTAAGGTGAACTCATAATTAAGAAGTTTTAGTCAATTTAAAACATACCACAAATTATATAAATATTTGGCTTTAACCTATTGGAGTTAATGATAATCCAAACCATATTTAAAGAGTTTAGGAACTGTTTTTTATTCATAAGAGACAATATAAAATTCAGAATAAAACTTCTTGCATTTTATACATTTCATGAAAATAAATAAATTTGGAATTTTTGTTATGATCAGAAATGTTCTAAGTTTGAACCAAAATCCAGTTTTTATTAAAAATAATTTGTTTATTTTGTACAGTCTAATTTTTTTTAACTTCCTTTATTGATTTAGAGCTTATCTATTTTGTTTTACCTATAAATCAATAAAATCTAATGATTCCTTACTATATACACTTAGTATTTTATTGAAGCACCTTTGGTACACACACTTATATGGGGAAGATCAATAAACCATGCAGAAAAACAGAAATCATAATTTTGTCTTTACAGTTGACAAAATCTTGACTCATCTGCATTTTAACAATTGTATGTATTTTTCAGAAACTCAACTAAAAAATGTTCAAATGAATACTTCTAAAAAGTCAAATTTAAAAAGTTTAAGCTATTTTTCCTTTCAGATATCAGCCGACATTTTTATATTTACAATAACTTTTGTAAAAGACTTTTTTTCCAGTGTTGTTAAAATGTTTGTTTATTTATGTGATCAACAAGTGCTTTCCCAAATGCAGCAAACTGTGTGTAATGAAGGTCATGTTGAATGACTATGCTTATAGATTATTTCACGTTAATGTGGGAGCAGGTCTCTGTACTCAGACCTACATTTTCATATCGCCAATGACCTTCCTGATGTCATCAGTTCCCAAGTAGGTATATATGTTGATGGCATAACTATTTACTCCTGGTTTAATAATAAGTCTAATAGGTCCAACAAATACTGGTAACAGCTCTCAAAAATGACCTCCAGTCAGTTGTTAACTAGGGCAAGAAATTGCTTGTAAGTTTTAATGCCTCCAAAATGAAACTGTTATATTTTAATCACCATGGAGAACCTCTGTTTACCATCCATCAGCAGATGCTTTCTTTAGCTCATGTTTTCTACTGATATAAAGTAGAATAATTATATTAAATAACTTGCTAGGTTTGCTGCTAAGAAAGTTGGTTCACTGTATGATGTCAGACAATTTTTCTCATTGGAATCCATCTTGCATATTTATAAATCTACTCTACACCCTTGCATTGAACATTGTTGCCATATTTGGTCTGAAGCTTCTGTAATATATATCTAGATTCTCAACAAAATCCAAAAAAAGGTCTGTAATGTTATATGTCCTGACCTGACATCTCAACTTCAGTCACTTTCTCACTTTCATGATGTGGTTTTCTTGTCTTTTCTATAAATATTTTCATAGCAATTATTCTAATGAGCTTTCCTCTTTGGTACCTTGACTACATGAATTTAAGCATACTACTAGATTAGCAACTATGCTTCATCATTTTACTATTGAATTAGCTAGATGTAACTGTAAGTTCTATTCTAATAATTTCTTTTCTCATACTTCTTGCTTATGGAACTCTATTCCAGTTTTCAGCTTCCCAGCCACATACAATCTTCAAAAAGTTAAATTCAATGTCAATTGCCATCATCTGTCTTCCAGATTTTTGTTCTTTTATTGTCCCAGTAACTCCTTTTGGCTTAGTGGGATTATTGCCTTGCTTGAAATTATTTTTAAAAAAAAGAAAATAGTAGAAAAATACATTATTTACACAACCTCTTTTCTGTATGTGATATTTTACATAGTTTAATACTTAAGTTCCTAAAATGGAATAGGAAACTGATGGTCATAAAAAGCCAAAAAGTGAGCTACAAAAATATAGGGTCATCTTTATATACTTTCTTGCTGGACAATCTCCTCACAGATGAAGAAGAGACTTGAAGCAACAGAAGTATGCTTCGATAGAATGTTGCTGAGAATGCCATGGACTGAATATGTGAGCAATGAGGAAGTTTTTAGAAAAAATGGAAACTTATACTGAGAATCAGAAAACAATAGTTGAAATTTCTAGGACATATAATAAAGAAAGAGGGCTTAGAAAATAGACACTCACAGGATATATTAAGGCAAGAGGGATAGAGAAAAACAGTACATAACCTACCTAACAAGCTTTTGTAAATGGTTGGTAGAACGGGGATTAGGAGAGATAACAAAATGACAAACTTTACTAAGAGTTACAAAGGACAAGAAATTGTAGAGAGCTATGAATGTCAACATCCTAAAGGGACAGGGCACATAGGACCAACACTTGAATTGGAAGATGGAACTTGCTTCAATCTTTTACCTCCCTTCCTTATCCCAAAGTAAAGACCGTTGCTCTCTGACCTGTGTTAAATGATATAAAACTACATTTCATGATGTTCAGTTTAAATTCTTACTCCAGATATTCATCCTTCAATGTTTAAACTATTTGGACTTTTGTCCTCATTTTTATTGCCATTTTCACAATGTTTTGTCCATTGAAACCTTTTTCAGGTGATATTTCTTGGAATTTTGAACTGAACATTTTATTTACATTTGGCCAAGTTGATTAAGTGACTTAACCTAAAGAATTGTGAGTTCAATACCTGGCGACAGCAGAAGGAATAAAAACCTGGAGAGTTGAGTTATCAAGGGGAATTAACTGATACTGAGCTATCCAAAGGCATGGCATGTGGAATTAAAACAATCTATCCCCATGGACTGAATAAAAGGTTTGGTTCAAAATTCCAAGAAATATCTACTGAAGAAGGCTGGAGCATACTACAGGTGAAACATCATGAATATAGCAATAAAGATGAGGATAATTGTCCAAATAATGTAAATAGGGTAAATAGCCAAAGTAATTTCTTTTATATCTTTCTCAGAGTCAGAATTTTGTTTGGACAATTCTTTTGTATTAATGTTTTTACCTAAACATTTCAAATAATAGGTTCTTATCCTTTATCAGGTATATCATCTGTAAGAAAATCATAAAAAAATGTTTTATCTTTTAAAAAGGATGACAGGAACATGGTTATTAATATATCAACACGATCAGTCTATTTCAGATAGATACATTGACTGAGATTTTGGTTTATAAATAATCACATTTTTCCCACCATTTTCTTAGGAGATAAGATCTTTTTCTTATTTTCTCACAGGTTATACACCTGAGAAAGGCTTATCTAAAATATGGTTATAATCACATCAAGTAAACAAAAAGTTCAATTGTTCAAACAAAATTTGAAATGTTAAATAATCTGGTAAAAATTATTGATAATATATTTCTAACATGTTGCATGTTTCTTTTTGTATCTATCCAGGCATTACTTTTTTTATTTTACTTTTAATTTTAAAAACTGTTCTTATCTTGTGTTATTTCATTGCCTTCAGATTACTGTGAAGAGGCTGGCCTATCAATTTATGATGGATTTGCTGACCCATCAACAATGCCAGCAGAAAATGTTTGTGGTCGCCTTTATGCTGACCATGGGGGACAAAAAGAGTTTGTTTCAAGGTCCTCAAGGATTACCTTGAGGTAGGTAGGTGTTTCCTCTCTGAATCAGGCAGTAAACAGATTGCATATATTTTTTATTACTGTCTTTCATTTAAAACCAGTGGTAAAAGTCTTTGATGCTAAAGAAAAAAAAAATTAAAATAAATGTATGAATAGCAGACCATTTGATATAAGCTTATCTTCTGTATGAACAACAGTTGGTTCATCTCCATCTTTGACAGATGTAATGCCATTTATTTAATTCTATCTTGAAATTCTGTCTACTGCATTGATCTCAGCTTGTTTTATCCATTATGCTACTGTAAAATTGAATTTTCTATTTCAGGATCTTATGCAATAAATATTGTCACATGTTGAAGGATTTAATTCATAAATCATATTTTTTTTGTATTCAGTTAAATAAAATTGAAAAAATATTTAAGAGATTATATTTTTCATACCCCTAACAAAAGATTCTACAAGTTGGACATCATATAAATGGAATTAAAACAGTATCCATGTCTTTCAATCAAACAGGACATTTTTTAACATTCAAAGGTGATAATCCAACATCAAGTCAATTATTTTTTTATATATATATATCTGGCATCATTGTTGAATTCCTACAAAAAAGACAAATATGTTAGAATTAGAATGGTATGGCCAGTACAATTAAAAAATTAATACTATCTGAAAGTCAAAAATAAAATAAAAAGACTGAAAATGCAACTCTAGTTGGACAACATTGCTAAAAGCCAACACTAGTGAGTCATTTTCTATGGGTCAAGCAGTTAGATATTAACAAAATCACTGGTAACAAACTAGATGGTATCTACACTTGACTATTGAGGACAATGATAAATATCAGCTGGAAATACCATGTATCTACTGAAGAACTATATGGGAACCTACCAAAGATTATAGACAGAATCTGTGAAAGGCAAGTGCAGTTTGGTGGCTATTTCAAGAGAAGTAAAATTGTGCATCAGTTTATACTATGGGATTCAAATTATGTGAAAAGATTAAGAGGTAGACTAATAAAAACCTACATTAGTCAACTCATAGACAATAACAGAAAATGAAAGGAAGAATATGGTTAGAAAGAAATGATCAGAAATGTTTGTTTGAGAATAACCAGATAGGTAGTCACATACATTTTTAGTTTGTCTTCACCTGTTTTGTTTCTTTTTAGTTTACTATTCATTATATTATAGTCATAAGTCATTATACTATTAACAGCAATTTTAGGCATAACATTCTGAAGATTGTAACTTTGTGCCTTTATTTAGAGTTTAAACACTAATATTACTTCTTTATTGAATACAAGGCACTGTAGTCTATGTTGGAGCTACCAAGAACTATTTTGTAAGAAATCAAACATTTTTGGATGTATGGGGGTCACAGCACTCAACACAGTAAGCATTGCTGCTCTGGTTCCCACAGCAAGTAAGTTTTAGCTCCATGCCTAATCAGTTTTCAGTTCACAATTGTATTTTTCCTAGACTTGTTGCCAACCAAGGCTGAAGAACAAAGTCTGCTTTACTATTTAACCTATAGCTGGAAGGAGAAGGGATAGATTCATAGCCCTCTCCCCTCTTTCCCAAAGGTATTTGTACAAAAATGTGACTAGAACTTGAACTTGGCTCTTTGATTTTTCATTCCAAGTTGTTATCTATTACACCACTTGCACACCCATAAGAGTATCAAGAAACTATAAAAGTCACATTTGGCAATAATTGTTTAAGCAAACCGTGACAACATTATTGGGTTAAGGAATGAATACTTGAAAAGTAACAAGAATTAGAAAAATGTAGACAGGAGATGAGTTTTCCTCAATGTTAGAAAGGTTTTTCTTTGTTATCTCTATGTTTGTAAAATCCTGTCTCTCTGATTGTTGCATATATTTGGATACTTGTTGTCTTATTGCATCAAGTGATAAAGAGCTTTTCTTTACTTGAACTATAACTCCAGTTAACTATGTGTTGCTCATAAATGACTTGTATCTTCTCTCTCACTCCTGTTCATGATTAGTTTTGACCTTTGGCTTTCAGCTTCTGTTCAAAATATGACTTTGTTCAAAAGCCAGACTTAAAGCTCAAGTCTCATCCATTTATACACTTGACATGAGAAATAGTTGGAGGTGATGTTACAGTAGTAGTGAAAGTATCCAACAGTTGATTTTATTATAAGCTACCCTTTCTGTGAAGATCAATAATACTTTGAATATATATTTAAAACAAGCTGCCATTGAAAGCATCTTCAGAAAACTTTATATAACTATTGTCTGCTAATTGGAATGAAATAAACAATAGAATTAAAAGGTTTTTTTTTCTGTTTAAATTTGTTACTCTTGTATGACTCTTATGGACTATCAATCTCATCTTTGTTTTTATTGTAATATTGCGGTTGGCCATCCTGAGATGTCAACCGTTTTCAGGTAATTTTGAACAAAACTTTATTTCATGCAAGCGGGTGTATTGTTCTCATCCCTTGCTTTCAGTGGGTGGGTAAAGAAGCAGTGTGGCACTAGGAGGAGAAAAAATTGTCAGTTACAAGTTCAGAAATCCTTGGAGGGATGCCAGATATGACATAATGGCTAAAAGCAATCATTTGAAGAAATTTATTTTAGGAATGTGCTTGAAAGTATCTCTACTTGTTTAACCTAATGATTAAAATATATTTTCATAGATAAATATTAACAATGAAAAATCTCACTTATGAAAAGTTGTTGGCTGAATTTCTCTTTCTGAATTTTAGTCAAAAGAAAACAATAACAAAATAAATATCTTATGTGAATCAGACTCAAGAAGAAATTTTAATGTAAATCAAAATGAAGTGAAATCAGTTCTTCTCAAACCCATAACAAACAAACCACATCTTAGCAATAATCGCTGCACAGAAGTGATATAAAAAAACAAAATGTACTGTAGTAACTAGTTGAACATACATAAGTTTGGTTATATGAAGTTGGAATGTGCACAACAGCTAAAATGAACACCCAAGACCAATATCTATATATTAAATTCTGAATTTAAATCTGCTCTTAGAGGAGGGTGAATGGAGTCTCTCTGAGCCTTGGTTGGCAATCCATTTAGTGTTGGTGTCACGATAAAAACACCCTTGATAGCCCTAGCGAAGCATCAAGAATTCAGCTATTTGACAAGATTATGAACTACACCAATCAAAGTATTGGTGAGTTCAATCTCGGCTGAGGCCGCAAGATGATGATGATGATGATATATTAAATATGTAATATTTACAGGCTAATTACATTTAAGCCTAACAAACACACTTTTTACTTAGAGATGGCTTGTCGAACTTAATGTAAATAGACTCCAACACCAAATGAAATTCAGAATCAGCCTTCCTCAGTACAAAAGACATGTCTTGTTCATATGAATTTTTTAAAGGTCCCACAATTGGTTTTCTGTCTTTAGTGATTTTGTTTTTTATTTGATTACTGAAAAGATGTTATGAAGAAATTACATATCTATTAAAGAAAAAAAATAGGAAAATCTAATTTTTTTTTCCTAAATAAAATAAAGTATATCAGTCTCTATATGTTTTTCATGAAAATAAACTTTAAATAAATTGATTACTCAATATTAGGATATACTAATGAAAAGTGAGTTGATATTGAAATTGCCTTTTCAATTTGTCTTATTATGACAATATAAATTTTCAGATTTATTGCTGGCCATAGCAATCAAAACAAAGATGGTGGTTTTAAGCTGGCTTGGTCAGCTGTCCGGACAGCTGAAGATGGTAATGTATATTTGTTTCTGTTCTAAATTGTTTTTTATGAGATAGAGGACTAAATAAAACCTAGTTTTAATTGCTTAAAAAGTGATGTGGCAATATTTTTGTTTGGTTAGGTTTTGTCTTGTGATCTTTATACGCATTTTGTTTAAAATAACATATTTGGCAAAAAAGAGAACCTTTTCTTCATCAGCCATGCAAATAGCAGGCAAAAAAACATTAGAAACTCCTGGTATCTTGAATACACAGAGAAATTTTGCTTATTATATATCTTAAATGTATTTTTCTGTCTCCTTCAACCATATAGGATTTTCCTGTTAAAAATAGATTTCTTAATGAATATATTTAATTTGTGTTCATCCTTACAGCATTTGATCCAGTAGAATTTATAATTCCCAAATAATCTGAGAGGAAATTATGATAAACAAATCACATATAATCTATTATTTTAAAACTTCCATATGTCTTTTTTTGTATATGTTCATATTATAAAGCACTTAACTTAGTGAAAAAATTAATTCTTTGGCTTTCTTGAAAAAATGTCATTCATTTTTCAATTTAAATTGCTTTGTATTAGTGTAAAGTGAATATTTCTACCTTTGGAAGGATTACTTCCAGTTTGCTTTACTTTTATCAATCTCAGATAATTTTAACTAATTTACTTTCTCCAGTATGCCTTGATCTTTTACATTATATACACTACAGTTCAAAAGTTTGAAACCACCCTTGGTAATTTTTTAAATTGACTTAAAAAATAGTTGTTTTGTACTTTCAATAAAAGAAAATTATTATACATGGTTAAAAAAAAGTAAGACATGTTTTTTTTATTAGAAATTTTATTATGACTAAAAGACAAAAAGCATTTTATGATTAAATTTTGTACTCGTTAAAATATCCTCCTTTAGCCTTGATTACTGCAGCACAAATTACTGGCATTCATTGCAAAAGTTTCTCAAAGTATAAATTTGATAAATGACTCTAAGCGATCTTTTTCATTTTTCTTTTTCACTCTTCTGTCAAGTTCATCCCATGCTAATTCTGGGAGTGGCTTAAAACTTTTGAACTGTAGTGTGTATATATATATATATATATATATATATATATAATGGTGATCCTATATTTTGTCTAGAGCTAATATGATAAAATCCCCAAAAGAATCAGCGATATCATTTTCTCCAATCCAGCGTCTCAGCTTCAGTCACTTTACTATAAGTTTACCTCCCATTGCCTTTTCTATAAATATTTTCATGGTAAATGTTTGAATGAGCTCTTCACTATGGTACCTAGACATTTTTAATTTAAGTGCAGTACTAGTCTGGTGACGAGATCTCACCAATTGACAGTTAAGTTGGCTAGATATAACCATAATTTCTATGCTAACAGTTTCTTTTTACACACTTCTCACTTGTGGAACTCCATTCCAGCTTGATACTTTCAAGCCAATTTTAATCCTCAAAGATTTAGATGCAATGTAAATTGCTATCTATTGTCTTCCTGATAACTCTTTCCTCTTCCTTCTTCTTAGCAATCTTTCTGTTTTTTAACTCTTCCACAGCCAGTAACCCCTTGCTTGGTGTGAACTCAATTAAATGAATATCAATTAAATATATATATATATATATATATATATACATGGTGCAGTGGGTAAATTGCCACCATTTTATATTTTTAATTTTGCGTGTTTCTTGTTTTCAATTTTGTCAACTGCACAGTATAGTTGAACACCGTCTGTGAGAAAAAGAGCACTCTACCAGAAATTTGGAAACAGCATGCTGCACTGCTTGGCATTTTTGCCAGAAGCTCCAATACAAACATTTCAGAGTGTTTGGGTGTCAAACTGAGGACAGGGCAGAGGATTCAGAAAGAGTTAGATCAGTCTAATGGTGATTATGAATCTCGGCAGCTTGGAAAACTCACTCTGATCATTCTTATAAGAACAGAACTCCTGAATTTGTTGGTGAGATCCTCAAACTCAATACAGAGGCCTACATTTTGTGCCTTGTAAAGGTAGTGCTGCCCTGGGTCAAGAGGGTGGCTGCTGGAAGGCACTGTGCCACACAAGCAGGAGAACCCAGTCATGGCTGTCAGACAATTTCTGCAACCACATCACACCTTACATCTGGCTAGCTAACTTCCCAGACTGCAACCCCTTTGATTATTATGTGTGGGGTACAGTTGAGTGAGAGACAAACAAAACTCCTCATAACACCAAAGATTAACTGAAGGCAAGGATTATGTCAGCATTCACCAACTTAAACAAGGAGACTGCCTAGAAGATTCCCAAGTTGTCTGAAGGCCACAATTGAAGCCAATGGCAATTTTATTGAATAAATTTATTCTTTAGTATTTCAAGATATTTGTGTGTAATTTTAGTAAATATATTTGTTTAAAATGAGATGTCAGTGATATTTTCATTTTTGTGTAATTTAGACGACAATTTATCCATCGCACCTTGTATATATAAAATAGCACAGTGAGTGCCAGTAGTAATAAAGCAGTGCTCGATGTAAAATAACAGAGCCAAAAATTATACAAAAAGTAAAATATATATATATATATATATATATATATATATATATATATATATATATATATATATGTTCCTGAAATGGTGAGGAATGAATATATATTTGTTATTAATATATATATATATATATATATAATTTCAAATGTTATATGTTACATAAACTGCATCCTACATTATCAGCTACTTCATGTTTTAGTGATATACTTATTGCAATCTAAAGGTTTGCTTCCTGAATCATTGTAACATTTATTTGTGCCATACAAATGAAAACTGGTTTGTTCTGCATTGATGCTAGCAAATGCCAGCCATGTATATGAAATGTCATGACTTTAGAAGTTTCATATCAATGGCCATGCTACAAGTTTGAAGTTTTAAAATAGATCATAAGGCTGATCTGATGGAATAAAGAGAAATGTTTAATCAGTTCTGAGTTAAAATAATATGGGTAATTACAAAAATGATCAGACTGTGAAGAAGTTCAGTGGAAATCCTCTACAATTGATAAAGAAATGTTGTGGACTTTATCTCACCAATTTATGTCCCATATTAAGAGAGAACTTATTTTTAAAATATCTGCCTTTGTTAAGCTACAAAATATTTAAGGGTTTTGGCAGTGAGAAAGTTTTGAAAAGCTCAAGATGTGGGTTTCTAAATCAAAAGTCAAAATATGTGAAATCAATCAATATACCTCTTTTAAAAACATCCATAAGAAAAATTGAATGAAATGTGCAGCAGAATATGTAAAAATTGATTTTTCAACTACCTTTAAGGTAAAAAATGCTATACTATCCTCAATGACAGCTCAGACATAAACATTTTTGAAGGCTCATGTGAAGCATGGTACAAGAAGCCAAACAACTTCAGAAAGATGGTTTTTTATGCAAGACAATGCTCTAACACATTCTGTGAAGAAAACTAATGAATATCTGAATAAAATACATTTTGAAGACCTGCATTTGATGAAATTGTTGTTTTTTTTTTTCATCCAGTCTTAATCTGACTGAAAACTTTTGAAGCATGCTGAAGACACAGGTTTATATTAGTGGACTGCAGATTACTAACCAAAATGGACACTTGGGGAATTCTACTCAGGATATTTCAAAGTCTGTTTCATATGAAGGAACCATGAATAAAATATATATATATATATATATATATATATATATATATATATATATACACACTACAGTTCAAAAGTTTGAAACCACCCCTGGTAATTTGGTAAATTGTCCCAAAAAGTAGTTGTTTTCTAATTTAAATAAGAGAAAATTATTATAGATGGTTTAAAAAAAGTGAGATATGATTTTTTATTAGAAACTTTTTTATGACGAAAAGGAAAAAAACATTTTATGATTAAATTTTGCTCTTGTCAAAATATCCTCCTTTAGCCTTGATTACTGCAGCACAAATTTTTGGTATTCATTGCAAAAGTTTCTCAAAGTATAAGTTTAATAATTAATTTCATTCTTTTTTCACCTCATTAAGGCAACAAAGACACTAAGGCACAGGGGGTTACTGAGTGTGAAAGAATATAAGAAAAAATATTATTAAAGATCAAGAACTATAAAAGAACAGTAATTAAGAAGACAGAAGATGATGATCAACATTGCATTTAAATTTTTAGAAATCAAAGTTGACTGGAAAATAAGAGGCCAGAAGAGAGTTTCTCAAGCAAGAAGTGCAAGAGAAGAAACTGTCAGTGTAGAAGTTATGCTTGGAACTTGCAGTTTCAACTGTAAAATAATGAACTAATCTAGTACTGCACTTAAATTTGTAAAGTCAAGATATCAAGGAGAAAAGCTCATCAGAACAATTGCCATAAAAATATTTATAGAAAAGGCACAAGGAACCTATGTTATGATGGTGAGAAAGTGACTGAAGCCAAGATAGCAGGTTAGGACCAATAGCATTGCAGGTTTTTCTTTGCATTTTGTCAAGAATATCTAGATATATAGCAAAAGCACCAAACCAGAAGTGGAAGCAATATTCAAAGCATGGACAAATGGTAGACTTATAAAGGTGTAAGATAGATTCTTTGTAAGCTTCACACACTTTCTGGAATTGTAATGTTTCTTGAAGTTTTAACAACCTGAAAATGATATGTAACTAGGAAAATCTGATAAAATTTATGAAACTCTTACTAAGATTGAAATGTATATGCGAAATATCATACCTATTAATATTGCAAATATTTCTGTGAACTCTTTTAGTAATATTCTCAAACTTGGGAAATATGTAATAGTGTTCTTCATTCTTTTTGCTTTTCAATTTCAGGTCCCTGCTCAGGATTTTTGTGCCAAGGAAGTGAAAGTTGCACAAGCAGTGGCAAAGCTGACTGTGATAACATTCCACAGTATTGCATCGACAGTTCATTGCGATGCAACAAAATACCAAACTGTGCAGCCCTAGATAATAGTGATGAAAAAAACTGTAAGTTTATCTTTGTTTTATTAATTTATATAATTAATTACTTTACTCTTTCCAAAATGTTATTTAATGGTGAAGTAGAAAAGATCTATATTATCTGACCCAATTTAGAATAATACTTTTAGTGAGGTACATTTGAAGTGATTTCAACCTCATTATAATCAGTTAGAGTTGCTCTTCTTTCAATAATGGGTTTTTAAAGTTGGTGACTAAACTGAATTCCTTGTTGCAAATATAATCAACCAATTTTGTTTATTAATAGGCTAATGCTGAGATCTCTCATATTTTTCTCCTGATTTAAATGCTTTTCTGTCATTAAATAATTCAAAATACATTTACATTATTTGTAGTAGCATTATATCATCAGTCAGTAGTTCGTCAGTCGATGTCGGACATCCGGCTGATCGGTTGAACTCTCTGCTTTCGGGCGATGAGGAACCCGAAAGAGGCTACACTGAAGGGCGGATTCTCTTTCGGGGAGGTAAACCGACCCTGAACCCGTTTATATGGGTTCAATGGGCATATTTTTGGCCGAGCCCACAGGCTAGGAGATTCCTCGTTAAACCGGCCTTGTGCCACATGATGCCCTCGTGGTGGGTTGACTGAATATCATCAGGAACACATTCATTCTTGTCCACTGACAATGCCTTTATTCCTGATTTTAATATTATTTCTGTAGTAAAACCATTAAAATGCATTTACATTATATATAATAGTCTTATTATATTGGGAATGCATAAACTAATTATTGACTAGTGATTTCAATACATTTCTGAAATGAATCATGTCACACAGAAGGGTTACTGTGGCACAGATTTGAGATCTCTTTAATCAAGTTTATTTTTGTTATGTAGGGTACAGTGTAGCTCCAGACCAATCAAAGTACTCATGTTAATCAATATGTGTCAATGGAAGGGTCTTTTGCACAAGCATTGAAACTGCTCTTTATATCAATCAATGAAGGTCACCCAATCCAATAAATCACACCCTGTAGAAGCAATGGTACCAGGATACATTGTGGGAAAACTACTATAGCTAATACAGTCAGTGTGGTAGGTTGGACAGTGTTCTATTGAGAAACACTGGGTCCTATTATTCATGTGGAAGTTACTTTATCATGTACTGCATAAGCAATATCATTAAATATAAGGTATATCTCTTCATGTTAGCAATCTTTTACATCAGTGATATCTTCCAGCAAAACAATGCAACTTGCCATACTGCACATTTTGTATAGGAATAGTTTCAGAAACAGACTCTCTATATCTCAGTCCCATTGAGAATTTATAGGATATTTTGGACCAATAAGATCTTTCTGAACAACTTTTACTTTGTCACTTGCATTAATTAAAGGATATATTGATATCCTAATATCAGATTCTAGAGTAAATATTTAAGAATCTTGTTGAGCCTATCTTATTGAAGCAGAGCTATTTTACAGGGAAGACCAACACCTTATTAAGCAGCTGATCATAATGTTTTGACTTACCAAACATTATTCTATCAGTAATGCTTGCATTAATTTCTGACAATTGATAAGCTCATTTTGGGTTTTTTTTCAATGAACAAAGAGCTGAAACTTGCTAAAACAAATTTTAGATGGAAAATGACAAAATTTGCTTATAAATCCTCTAATTTTTTTCTTCCAGAAATATTTTCTGACTACTTTCTTTACCACCAAACAAACCAACCAACCAACCACCCCACCCACCTACATACCCAACTTAGCTTTTGCCATTTTCTGTACTTCTTCTAGTTTGATATGCTATGTGTATTCAGTTTGTGGGTAATCATGGCTTCCTGTCTTTTATTGGTTGAAGCAATTTTTAATTCTTTATCGTTGCTCTTATTCTTTGTTTTGCTATCCACTCACTTACACTTATTAAATAGTATCACTTAGACTCACTGTTTTCACCTTGCTTCTCTTATATATCCTCTGAGTGTTAAATTCTCCAAACCCTCTTTCCACATTATATGTCTTAAAAATTTTAACTGTCTCTATTTTATTACAAAAATAAGTGTCCTTGTAGTTCCCGTTTTCCTTAAAATGTCCTTGTTACTCACATTTTCAGTCTGTAGCATAAAACTTTCATCAATATAGAATAATATCTCTGTCATTTTAAGTCACTTCTTCATTTATGAAGAGATTGTCCAGCATTCACTGACATATAGAAGATTAGATATTACACTGTTAATCAACATTCTTTTCTTTGTTTCTAACAAAATTTTCCTATTTCTTAATATTTTACTTAGTTTCTGAAAGACATTTTTTGCTATTTGAATGCACATTTGGATTACTGTGTCACACTTTACATCATTTGCTATTGCTCCACTCAGGGAGCTACCCAGTTCAATCTTTCCAGGCTTGACAGAGTTCAAAAAAATTTGCATGGCCTTGTGGGTGATGAATTATTTTCATTCCTGCAACTCCTTTCTCACTGATGCAATGTGCCATATGCCTATCACTGCTCTATCACTATTTCTATGGAAAATGTTCTGATGCACTACATTCCTTAGTTCCACCTGTTCAGACCTTTACAGCTGAATCCTACGTTGCCATGCACACAGGTGTGAACCATCCTCGTTCCCTTCACATTCTATTGGTAAGAAGGAATTTCCACTTAATTTCTTCCCAAGATCTGTTGCTTTATGGAACAAACTCCCAAGAGGATGCTTCCCCTGATCACTACAATCTGAACTTCTTCAAGTTCAGGGTCAGTCATTATCTATCATATAGATACAGTCAGTCATTATCTATCATATACATATAATTTGCAATTATTGTCATTATCTATCCTAAAATTTACAATTCTTACATTCATAAAACAGCCCTATTGAGTAACCCTCTACCTTGAGTGGCTCTTTTGAGTAATGAGAAAATGTATTCGTGTCTTACTCCTATTTCAAGATTAGTGTATTCACTGAAGTTTTTTTCTCTCTATGCAAATTCTTTGTAGAGGCTACAAATTACTTGAATATCTTATCCATATGAATCAAGCTTTTCTAGTATTTCAAGTAGTTCATACTGTACTTACCAAATACTTTTGCATAATCTATAAAATATAGGAATAGATCTTTCAGTATTTGTATTTTATACTCTGATAGCATTCTAATTATGCTGTTGGGTTGTTTTTTTTATAAAAGCTACTTATCTGATGGAGCTTCCACTCATATAAATATGAGATATTAAAAAGGAAATGAAATTTTATTAACAGTAACAATGCAAAATGACAATAAAACATGACATAAAGATTACTAACTTTAATTTAACCTTTATCTAGCTAGAGGTAAAAATTGTTTCCATAGAATTCTCTCCCTTTGCTACTCAAGGCGCATTCTGTCGGCTCAAGAGGGTTGCTATAAATAAACACTTGTGAACTATTATTTCCGATATTTTAAGCTGAAATAGCCTACTACGACTTTGGAACAAGGCCAAACTTCCATTTCCCAACACTTTTGAATTCTTCTACACTCTACACAAGGTGTAACATCAATTAAACCCATGGTAAATTTGTTCGCGATTTTTTATAAACAAAAATGGCTACCTCAACATCCAATGAAGCCTTTATTCAGAAATTTTTCTTTGATTTTGACTCCGATGATGATTTTGAAGGCTTTACTCAAGTGGATGTTGATGGTGAAGTGGTCAGGAGATGATAACCACGCTAGTGACAGGGAGAAAAGTAATCTACTGGCCCCATGGATGTATCTGATAGTCTTCCTGGGGTTGAATTATTTCATCTATTTATAAGCGATAAAATAATAACTTTATTTCTCAATGAGACAAATAAATATGTTAGTTAGATGAAAGAAAGAACAAACAAATGTTGGTGTCTCTTCATATATAAACACTTTTGACAAAATGAAAACCTTCTTAGCTATTTTGCTTCTTATTTCACCCCAGAATTTCACAAGGAGTAATAAAAGTCAACGTATGTAAAATTATTAATGTATTTGTTTTTTATTTGTGTTTCAATTTTTTTTATTTCCAACCTCAAAATATGCATGCAAAATATAATGCATTACATCAAAATATTACTTATCCATTCTTTTATTAGTATACAAAAATAAAATCTATACACACAATACAAAGAAAGTTATAAAAGTTTTAAAACAGTAGGTGCTCATGTTTTTGTGCCCTTGAAAAAAATGCAGTGGCAGGGGTAACAATTCTAGAAAGAATTTAGTGGGGTAACGGTTAAGGCGATGTTGTGGCTTTGTTCCCTATTGGTGTGAGTCTGGATGTTGATTGTGGTATGTACATCTTGTGCCAACTCTTTCACAGGTCCAGGCTACTTCTCTGTGTCAAGAGCACTCGTTCACCTTGGTTATCTGCTAATTGTGCCAAGGGCACTAACTCACCTCATTTATCTGCTTGCTAGGAGAGGGATTCTATATAAAACTATACAATGCAAATAACATTTCTTGTTCTAATGCTTTGAATAAAGATACACTTATTTCTAGTCAAATCTATCAATTAGAATCCTCATCTTTATCTATTTAGCTTATCAAACCAATTATCCAATGAAGTTTGCATTAATTTGTACCTGATTTCTTTGGCAGTACTATAAAGATAGATCTATTGAGGTCTTCCAGTATTTCACTGATATCATATATTTCATTTATCATTTCTGTAACTTTATCAGTTCTGAAATTATATAAAGTTGTTGCTTTTTTGTTGTTCATCTTGAAACAATGTTGATCTTACTTCAGATTTTAATACTACAAGTTCTTCCATGTTTTTCGATTTTGTAGGTTTCTCTCTTCTGTTGTCATGGAAGAGTTCACTGCTGTATTCATTCCATCTCTCTAGTATCTTTTATTTTACTATTATAATTTTAGATTTTATACATTGCGTTAAATAGCAGGTTTTCTGTCCTACTGTTCCTTTTATATTTTTGTGCATGCCTTCAATGTCTATGTTCTGTAGATTTTCTGTTTCTACATATCTCATTGATTCATTCCTTTTCTGCTTGCATTTATTTCTAATGTTTTGTTTAACATCTTAAATTCTGTTACATTCCTTGATGTATTACCTACTGTCCCACTTTCATTAGTGTGAGAATTTCATATATCATTCATTTTTTTTTTTCTCTCCCCTCTTTTCCAATGACCCTTATTACAGTTTTCACATATGCTTTGTTTAAAGTGTTTCACTTTGAGTTATTGACTTCAAAGTTTTTATATTTGTTATGTACATATGGTTGCTTGTAAACTGAATCAAGCTAGAGTTACTTATATTATAGTTCAGGTATGATTTTGCATATGACTGTGAGGTGATCACTCCCACAACCAATACTTCAGTATGTTTTAAAGAATAGTTCTCTGCACTAACAAACTAAATATTTCTGGTGATAGGCAAAAATAAATTTTTTAATTAAACATTTAAACATACTATATGTGGACAAAATTTGGGGTTTTCTGATCACTTCCTACTAACTTTACCACTACTCCATCATTCCCCAACTTAGCTTTACTTTATTTTATGCATTAACTAAATATCTCTGGTGGTAAGGCAAAGGAAATTTTGTGATTCAGCATTTGAACTCATTATATGTAAACAAGGTCTGGGTTTTTCTGATACTTTCGACTGACTTTACCACTACTCCATTACTCCTAGAGTTAGCTTTAGTCATTTTCTGCATTAACAAATTAACTATTTCTGGTAGTAGAGAATGCAAAAATTGGTGATTAAGTATTTCAACTCACTATATTTAGGCAAGGTTTGCATTATTCTAATTACTTCCCACTGACATTACCACTACTCCATCACTTGGTTTTAGTTATTTTCTGCCCTATCAATCACTGTAGAAAAACTCAGTCCTTGCCTGTGTGTACCAAGTTCAAATGCAATTATTGCTGAAATATAATCATTATAATCCTTTTTATTTCACTCCCCCTCCACCATCTACCAGAAATAAACCCCACAATATAGTGTAAGTTTTTATTTATTCGTTTAAGGCATCCTATCTCCTTGCTTTCATAATGAACCCTATCCTTCATACACAACTAATTTTTACATACTTTATATATCTTTACTTATTTTAAAAAATATTTTGTACCAATTTTTTTCCCTTTCATGTTTGTAGTTCTTTTTAACACATTTAAGATTATGTATCTTTTTTATTTCTTTTTGTAGGTTTAGAAGAAATTCTTCTAATAACAGCCTGTGTTGTGGCACCTCTAATATTTGTTCTTCTACTAACAGTCATCATAGTATACTGCTATCGAAGACGGCGTTTCCAAAAATCATCTTCCCAAAGTCAACAGTTGACTTCACACCTACCCCCACTAGATCAGAGTCCTCTTTCACGCCGACACTGTGTTATGCAGACCTCCTTCATTGATGGCAGTCAAGGAGAGGATGATGATGGAATTGGTTCTTCCACAGAAGAATATTGCAACAATCCCAACAGCAAAAATAAGGCTGCTTACCAACTAATGAAACGAGCTACTATCAATGACAGCCATGTTGTCGTGGCTGATATATGATGGAAAAGCTTCATTTAAATTTCTTCAAATGAATGGAAAACAAGAACACACAATTTCCCAACATTCAACTGAAGTAAAGCATTTTTTGAAAATGTAATGAAATTTTTTTCCTCCTTGGAAAGACTCGATTCTGAATTGATGCCAGAGATCCAAGCAAAAAGATTTAAAAGAAATAGAAATTTTTAAAAATGCATCATTATTTTTGTTTCATTCTTAAAATTTTCAACCCATAAAATGTCCGAAACATTTTTCCTTTTCTTCAAAATAACCATCAATCTTTTCTTTTTTTTTTTTTTTACCCCCGTCTCCAAATTCTTTTGAATCTTTTTTTTTTATTTTAATGTTCTTCTGTGCAAAAATTCAAAATATAAAGGAGATTTCTCGGATATTTCTGACAGACATGCAGAAGATCGCATTTTGTATGATGATAATGTCTGGCTTCTGATATCTTCAGTCGCTCTTCCGTGATGAGCAAATATCAAAATGTGGAATAAGTGCAAAGGAATTTGACGTGAGATTCCATATGGAAAGTTAACAGGATAAAATGACAGTAGTAAGATGAACTCGTTAATTTTTCAACTACTGTCTTTCATCTTAATTTCAGTAGCTTTTTATTGCAACTACCAGACTGTCATTCTGCAATCAAAAGCTGGAATTAAGATGAAATACTAGTTGAAATATTAATAATAACTGACACCTTTTCATCTAAATTAAGAAAAAAAGTTATGAAGAAATATTCATGAACAAAAAAGAAAAGAGCTTAAGACTGTAGAGGAGGAGGAGAGAAATGCATTTATCCTATACACGACAAAAGCTCTATAAACCCATATCTTTCCTTAAAAACAATTTCAACAAAACTTTTCTTCAGTGTTTCTTTCTTTTTCTTTTTTTTACTAACAAGGTGAGAAATGTAAACCTTTTCCAACCCCATCTTTTTTTAAGTCGTCAGCAATATTTTTTATCTAAGTCTCATGTCTATTCAGTTATCAAGTGTTTAAATCAGTGTTCATATTTCCAATGATGCAAAACTAAGAATCATAATTCATTTAATGAAAGTTGGTAAGTGACTGTGAAAAGAAAGACAAAAGGAATGGGTGCTTTAAAGAATGGAATATGGCAAAAAAAAAAAAAACCCAAACAAAGAATATGAACTAGAATGAATTTTCCCCAAGAATCATGAACGAATGAACAATTTAAAGTTGTGTGTTTTGGAATCATTCAATTCCTGAGAAAATACAAAAAAATGGCCTTTCATTTGATTGTCTAACAAAAAAATAGAAAAGATTTCAGAGAAAGAAAAAATAGTTTGGAAACATTTTTTTTTTTACTTAAATGTTTCTTAAATCATTTTGTTTATTTAGGTTTTATATATAAATATTTACTATATGTATATATAAAACTCCACTGAAATGTATATATGATTGAGTGTATGTATAATGTATATTTCTATAGATATATATATATATATGTGTATATATGTATATAGATATAGATATATATATATAGAGATAGATAGAAATAGATATATTTAAATATATGTGCACATACACATATCATTTCAATTTATATGTGTGGGTGTGTATATATACTGGATCAATTTTGTACAGACAGGTGCACATTATCAAAGCTTATATGCAGATCTGTGTTGACATATTTTGGAAGATGCATAATGACATATATAAAACTAATTATATATGTATGGACACAAAAGCTATACATTCAACACAAGCATATATATATATATTGATATTTGCCTGTCTGTTAGTATATACATACACAGATATATAATATATGCTAATTTTGATGTGTGTACTTATATGCCTAAGTTGACACACAGCAGTAAGCATATATAGGCATATGTTTATTGAATATTGTCATCATCTGATGAAAGGAAAGTTTTTAGAAAATTCAAAAGAAAACCATTCTCTTATAAACTGTTTCCACGTTGGCTACATAGCAATCAATCATTTACTCCATTCTTCAGAATTTCTTTTCTCTTCCCATTTCCAAACTTTTACTCAGTATTTTAACAAGATTTTTTTGATATTTCATTCTCTAATACAAACATCTGTGCTCACAATATAAAATACACACAAACACATCTATCAATAAAATGACTATAAAAAAAATACTGTTAATGCTAGAAAAAAAAAACCTTTTTTAAAACAATTATTTTAATTATTAGTTTCAGAAATGTACATTTTCTTGCATGTACTAAAAACATTGTCATTAGAAATGAACAGTAACAAACCACCTGCTATTTTGACTCATTTGGACATATTAGGGATTAAAAAAAAACTGTTGCAATTGGGGCAGGGGGCGGGGATCAATTTTATAATGGGTCATTGGGAGGGAGTGGGCCTTCTTTTTTTTTTTTTACTTTATTGTCATTTATTTTACTTCCTTTTGGAACCCCCACAACTAACAATTTACCCTAAAATGAGATGTCTGAAGAATTGATTTTAATACGGATAATCCAAGTAAACAAAATTAAATGCTGGAATTTTTTTTTTTTTCTTATTAAATTACATCTTTGGTATCATTTAAAAAACAAAAAATATAACGTATTGTATTTTAGTTGTTGTCTGTAATTTTATTTTCCAATGCACGAGTTCCGGTTAATAAGCATGGTGGACAAAATTGTGTCTTTACACATGTTCCTTTGTGGAGATTAAAAATATCTTGGAATATTTGTTTATGCAAACACCCCCCTCCCCCAACACACAAGAAAATTACCCTAAAATATTGATGCAAATAAATGACAAAAAAAGAAAAAAAATGTAAAATTGTTTTCTGAGGCATAACATATTTCAACTAAATCCATACAAAACAACATAGACTTTCAACTGGAAATAAAATAGTCAAGTGAGAAAAGAATTGTGAATTATATTTTATTTGAATATAGGTTTAGATCAAAACTACTAGTTATGTCATGAATTACTGATGTATTTAATATCAATACTATTTTATAATAATAACTTACTATGAAATCCCATTAGTAACCCTCTATAAACAAAGTGAAATCAGATATACATTAATAAAGAAAATTTTAAATCAACTAATAAGACAATGTTTTACAGTGTATTCCAAAAAGTAAATGGAATTTAAAATGATATGGAATTAGAAATAAAAGCTAATAAAAGTGATAGATATATATTTTGCTGCTTTGGTCAATGCAAACGGAGAAAGCCTATGTTTATTGAAAACAGTCATTCTCATGAATGAATTCTTCATCTTCATCCTCTATTGCATGTTTCCCAATTCATATAAGCCAATAGCAGTCTGTATTGGAATCAGAAGCCACAGAAACAAGAACAACACATAGCATGATAGAATCTCAAGAATTCTATTTCATTGGACAGTTCTTAGCAACGAAAAAACAAAATGGAAACATGATCAGTCATAATTAATTAGAAACTAAAAATTTAAAAAAAAATTTAGTTGAATGAAAACTGAAAAAAATTAATTCTTCTGTATGAGTTTTTTTTTTCCCATAAATCAATCCACATTTTCTGTACATGCATTTATGTCTGAAAATTGCTATGTATCCATATAAGTAATGAAATATTCCTGTTTTATGTCTCTTGTATTTTGTATCTTGTTTTCAATCAATTATTATTTATATACTTTTGAAAAGTTTTTACTTGGTTTCAGGAAGTTAATTAAGACTTTTTTAGCAAATATAATGATAATAAAAAAAGAAGTTATTTCCTAATTGCATGATATATAAATATTTTATTCCCACAAGAAACAAAACTCACATTTAAGAATTATACACAAATTGATGTTGTTTTTAAAGGTAAGTAAGTATAAACATTTCAATAACAGCTAATCTTTATTTATGACAGATTCAAAGCTCAAAGTTTACCTGGGCTTTTCAGTTTAGTGTTTGAACATTGTTGAAGCTGTTAATTTTATTTTTTCAATAAGATTAGTTTATTTTGTTTGTTTGTTTTTTTATTATTTCCATTATCCTGTTGGAACAAGGAATACTAACATTCAACTCAACTGTGCAGGACACAGAGTCAAGATAAGAATAATTCTTTGAAAAAAAATAATAAAAAGAACATTTTTGCCTGTAAGTTTTACAGAATTTTTAATACCTACAGTATACATTAGATTTGCAAGGGAGGTAATTTGCCTATTTGCAAGGGAGGTAATTTACATTTTTATATATTTTTTTTAGTTGAAAACAACGCTCAGGTAAACTGAGCCATTACTCTGTTATTGCAGAACAGTAACTAAGATGGCATTAAATGTAAGATAATAAAATCTCTCTCTCTCTCTTTCTTTCTCTCTTTCTATCTATCTATCTACCTATCAATCTCTCAGGAGAAACAGTCAAAAAGAAACCATTGCAAAACTGGCTGTGAAGTGAGCCAGTTTGGTTATTGAGGCTTGAAAGACCTGCTCAAGGTCTTTTTACTTTTGTTCTAAGCATTGTTATGACAATTGAGAACTGGAATTCTGAAGGCGTAATATCAAAGATCTTGCCTCTGCATAAAATTGTAAATCGTAAAAAAAAAAAAACAAACATTTAAAATAAGCCAAATATTGATCATCGGTATTTATTTTATAAGTTTTATTAAAAAAATATTTCCAGAAGATTTAAGAAGAAAATAAAATGTTGATTTTTCTATATTTTTCAAAATTCTGAACCAGTGATCAGAGAATCATTTATACCTATATTCAGTGTTCTATTTTGACAAAATAAAATTTGATTCTGAAAATATTAAACAATTACATCCCTGGTATGTTTTGTTCGAAATAATAAAGCAAACATATTATCTTCTCACGTTCATTGAATTTTTTTTTTTTTTTCACTAATTCTTGAAATGCTCCAAACAAGAATAATGTTGTCATAACTTACCATGTTCAAGAGATCTGTAATACCAAATAAATCTTGAGCAAGTCATTCGACCCTTTATACCTCATTCTTTGTGAAGAAACATTTTACTGAATCTCTTAGAGAGCTTCTTTGAATCTGCTGACAAAAAAGA